AATCCACCCAGCTCTGCTGTTAGAACGTCCCTCTAATTCCAGATCACCCAGCTCACAACCCAACACCCACTTCCTCAAACAAGCCCCAAGTCTTTTTAAAGGAAAGTACCATATTAATTTTAGCATTTATGTATTTCTTAACCATTTAACATGTAAAACTGTGCTATCATTTTTTTCTTTTTTTGAGACAGAGTTTTGCTCTTGCTGCCCAGGCTGGACTGCAGTGACCCGATCTTGGTTCACTGCAACCTCCACCTCCTGGGTTCAGCTCCAAGGCACTGCAGGACACCCAGTGAGCTCTCAGGATGCAGTGGGATGTTTTAAATTTCTGAGGAGCCTGGCATGGTGGCCTGCAGTCCCAGCCACCTGGGAGGCTGAGATGGGAGGATCGCTTGAGCCCAGGAGTTTGAGGTCAGCCTGGGCTGCATAGCAAGACCCTGTCTCTAAAAAAAATTAAATTAAATTAAAAAAAAAATTTTTTTTTTCAGGGAAACACATCAACATCTCTCAGACACAGATGAACATCTTTTAAAAATGTATTATTTATTTATTTATTTATGTTGATTTGTCATTATTTCTTCAGAACAGCATGAACTCCTATCTTGAGGTAGTTCCCGGTTTCAGCTAAGATTGTGGCACCTTCCTCTCAATGAAGTTGTGTCTTTGCAGAGCTGTGATAGGGGCTCTGTGCTCTGTGGAGATTTGCGTGGAGCTGGAAGTGGAGGTGATGGTGTCCAATCCACTTCCAAGGCTTACAAAGTTGTGCAGTGCCCAACAGACACCACATTCCATTGGGAAGTGATTATAGTAGTTTAAGAATGAAATAAAAATTTTTTAAACTTATGGGATCATTTTTCAAATGTCTGCTAAGTTGTTAGAACACGAATACTTCAGTTGTTTGTACCTCACTATCTAACACATGGAACCTCTATTTCTTTTGGCGTAGGAGGGCCGTGAAATAATTAAGGGGACAGTTAAGGTGCTGTCACTGAAGACAGTTTGGGACCCCCTAGATTCTGATGATCAGAGATTGCTTGCTACCTTCTAGCAGCAAAAAGAAATCCTGCCAGGCACGGTGGCTCAAGCCCTTTAGGAGGCTGAGGCGAGCAGATTACTTGAGGTCAGGAGTTGGAGACCAGCCTGGCCAACATGGTGAAACCCTGTCTCTACTAAAAATACCCAAATTAGCCGGGCATGGTGGTGGGCGCCTGCAATCCCAGCTACTGGGGGGCTGAGGCAGGAGAATTGCTTGAACCCAGGAGGCAGAGTGGCTTGAACCCACGCCACTGCACTCCAGCCGGGGCAACAGAGCAAGACTCCGTCTCAAAAAACAAAAATTCTTTCTGGATAAAAATAACAGTTCAGAGACTCAGCTTATCTGTATCATCTTCCACACACAGTGCTTGGCAGGCAGACAAAACAGGAGTGAAAACCTGGGAGAAAAATCAGACAAACAGACGATAGAAACAGACCCACGGGGATCCTGATAGTGGAATTACCCATGATGAATGCGCCCAAGGAATGAAAGGGCAAGATTAAGAATTTTTGGCAGAGAACTGGAAAGTATAAAAAGGAACCAGGTGGAAATTCAGTGAAAAGTGAAAAGTATAGAAACTGAAAAGTACCGTGGATAGATCTGATAGCAGGAAATGTACAAATGGAAGACTTAGAAGAAAATACTCTGACAGAAGCACAGAAAGATGAGAGGGTGGAAACGCAGGGGAGAGTTTAAGAAAATTATGGTATAGAATGAAAAGAGCTGGGCAAATTTGACTTCAGTGACAATTTGACTTTTGGGGACAAGATGGGAATGTGACCAAAGTCAGCCTATGTAAAGATGGAAAGGACCTCAAAGACCATCCAGGCCAACACCCTTGTTACGTTTCAGGAGAAGAGGGTGCATTCATTTCCTGGGGCTGCTGTGCCTCTCACCGGGTGGCTTTGTGAGCTTGAAATGTGCTCTTGCACAGCACTGGAGGCCAGAGGCCTGAGATAAAGGTGCTGGCACGGTCGCTTCCTTCTACAGGCCTCCCAGGCTGCAACTGGGCAAGCTGTCAGCCAGCGAGGCGGTCACCTGAATTCTGAGCTGGGCCTGGTGGGTCCTCTTCCAAGGTGGCAAGTGGCACGGGGATCATCCAGCCTAGGCCTCTCTCCCAGATTCTGGTGGCCCAGTGGCATCTTCCATGGCCCTTGGCCTGTGGAAACATCACTGCAGTCTCTGCCTCCTCTGTCACACGCGTCTCTTCATCTCTTCTTATAAGGACACCAGTCATATTGGGTTCCAGTCCACACTGCTCCAGTATGACCTCATCTTCATTTTACTCATTACATCTGTAGCAACCCTATACTTTCCTTTCTTTTCTTTTTTTCTGAGACAGAGTCTCGCTCTTTCACCCAGGCTGGAGTGCAGGGGCACAATCTTGGCTCACTGCAACCTCTGCCTCCTGTGTTCAAGCAATTCTGATGCCTCAGCCTCCTGAGTAGTTGGGACTACAGGCATGCACCACCATGCCCAGCTAATTTTTATACTTTTTAGTAAAGTTGGGGTTTTGCCATGTTGGTCAGGATGGTTTCAAGCTCATGGCCTTGAGTGATATGCTTGCCTCGGCCTCCCAAAGTGCTAGGATTACAGGTGTGAGACACCGCCTATGTTTTCTTTTTCTTTTTTCTGGGATGGAGTCTCACTCTGTCCCCTAGGCTGGAGTGCAGTGGTGTGATCTCAGCTCACTGCAACCTCTTCCTCCTAGATTCAGGAGATTCTCCTGCCTCAGCCTCCTGAGTAGCTGGAATTATTAGCTACCACCTAATTCGTGTCTTTTTAGTAGAGATGGAGTTTCACCATGTCGGTCAGGCTGGTCGAGAACTCCTGACCTCAGGTGATCCGCCCTGGCCTCCCAAAGTGCTGGGATTACAGGTGTGAGCGACTGCCCCAGGTCTATATTTTCAAATAAGGTCACATTCTGAAGTACCGGGGGGGTAGGACTTTTTTTGGGAGACACAGTTCACCCCATAAGAGAGAGAATATGCCCTGTTTAAATCTCACGGCTAATTCATCAGGTCTTTGGAAGACTCATTCTGTCTGCCTCTGATGTCTAATTAATACCAAATTATATTCCTTATTCATGAAATTCTAGCAGGGTCTGGCCTGTCTGCTGTTCCTGTGTACCTATTATTCAGAAAAAGGAAGGTTTGCATGACAGATGGAAAGAAGGATCAGCCAGTGGTCAGCGTAGTATGTAGTTTTCTGCAAGGCAGCCACAGACGCCACAAACGAGGGGACAAAACAGTTGCATCAAAAAATGCAGCTCTGCCAGCCCTGCCAACAATCCCTCCAGCTTGAAGTAGACACTCCCACTCCACGTGCCAGAGAGTGTTCATGGATCTGCGGGTCCTGCACTAACCCTGGCAAGGGCGATGGTTTCTTAGGCAAAGAAGGTGGCTGCAGTGTCAGCCAAGAGATTGCAGATCTGCAAAGTTGGAACTGCTGAAGGATGCTGGGTCAGCCGACCTGAGAGATGCACGTCCTCATGGCAGGTGGCTGGACGTGGGGTCAGGGCAGGTTCACAGCCTGACCAGGAGAGTTTGCTGAGCTGGTGAAAGCTACAGGTCAGGAGGGTTTAAAGCAATTTGAGCGAAGGGCTCAGCTTGGCCCAACATTATCCTGCAAAAGAAGATGTGAAATCACCCATCTGTGGGTCAGCCAGCAGGGATTGCCTCCCTGTTGTCCCCATGGTCCTAGTCCTATTCCAACAGCAGCCTGGAATGGCCCCTGAATCTAGAGAGTGTGGCGCTGCTGCCAGTGACCTCCCCTGGAAAGCAGGAAGATGTAACGGTTCCATCTTTCACCGTCTGCCATGTTTCAGGATGACAGACATCTCTGGCTCTTGTAGGAGTGATCTTACCTACCTTTGGTAGGTCACTCACCCTCTGTAAGCCTAATTCTCTTCATCTGTCAAATGAGGATAATGATTCTAATTGGTAGGATTGTTGAGGCCACCTGATGATGAGCACTAAGTGTCTGTAGTCACCTGTAATCCCAGCACTTTGGGAGGTTAAAGCGGGTGGATTGCTTGAGTCCAGGAGTTCGACACTAGCGTGGGCAATGTGGCAAAACTTTATTTCTACAAAAAATAGAAAAATTATCCAGGCATGGTGGTACTTGCCAGTAGTCCCAGTGACTTGGGAGCTGAGGTGGGAGGATCACCTGAGCCTGGGAAGATCGAGGCTGCAGTGAGCTGTGATGGTGCCACTGCACTCCAGTGTACAGAGAGAGACATCTCAGAATTAAAAAAAAAGCAAAAAGACAATGCCGAGGCAGCTGCTTAAGGCACACCTGCTCAGTCGGGTCAGTCTCACTTACCCGTGGGCAGAAGCCAAAGAATCTTCCGCTGATGATCCTGCCGCTGCATTCACAAACCTGTGCATCTCCAGGGGATTCTGCATTTTAACTTGATGACATTTAGTACGTTTTATTGCATGTCTGAGCCTTATTTGATTCTTTTACAAATAGTTACTCAGTGCATACTGACCCATTTTCTAGGTCTTCCTCTCTCATGGGTGTAGAGAAGAGATGGTGTGGAAAGGTGTGTGTGCCAGCCACTGAGGCATCTCAGATCTTCACAAACAGATTTGAGACTAGCAGGAAATATTGGCTCAAGGGTCTGCCAGTGCGGGTTTTAGTTTTGATGTCACTGCTATTTTTTTTTTTTTTTTGAGATGCAGTTTCACTCTTGTTGCCTAGGCTGGAGTGCTGTGGTGTGATCTCAGCTCACTGCAACCTCCTCTTCCCGGGTTCAAGTGATTCTCCTGCCTCAGCCTCCCGAGTAGTTAAGATTATAGGCATGCACCACCACACCTGGCTAATTTTTGTGTTTTTAGTAGGATGGGGCTTCATCATGTTGGCTAGGCTGGTCTTGAACTCATGACCTCAGATGATCCGCCCACCTCAGCCTCCCAAAGTGCTGGGATTACAGGCGTGAGCCAATGCACCTGGCCGCTGCTGCTATTTCACTGTGTGAAATTAGAAAAGTCAAGCAATTTTTGAATCATAGTTTCTTTGCATTGGTAAAATAAAGGAATTGAATCAAGTGGTTTTTAAGACCCCTTGCCAGCCCTCGCTCTCTAGAAGAATGCAGGGTGACTTTTTGGAGCAAGCGGTCCTCTGCTGCACAGACATCCATCGGTCTTCCTTCCGCAGAGGGTGGGATGCACAGCCTGGCATCTGGACCATGCTGTTTAGACATTCTGATTTCAGGTCTTAATTACTCAACGTTTACATTTTCCTTCCACTGTTGGCTTTCTCTCCACATGTGAGGAAACTCCATGGTCAGCACCAGAAGAGGTGAGAGGAGTTCATCTGGACCTGGGTGAAGGGAGGGACAAGGTCACAGCATTGGGAAATTTTTCCTCCTCATTGAGCAGAGTGTGAATGGCTATGCTGCTTTATTTGTTTTTCTTTTTTATTAAAGAAATTTGAAGCATACACCAAGGTAGAGAGAACAGTGTGATGAATGTCAAGTACTTATTGTCCAGCGTGAACAGTTACTAACGTTTCCCACCTTGTTCATTGTCCATCTCATCTTCCATCTACCCTCCTCCTTCAACACACTTTACTTTTATTTCATTTTATTTTCTTTTTTCTTTTTTTGAGATGGAGTTTCACTCTTGTTGCCCAGGCTGGAGTGTAATGGCATGATTGCAGCTCACTGAAACTTCTGCCTCCCAGGTTCAAGCAATTCTCCTGCCTCAGCCTCAGTAGCTGGGATTACAGGCGCCTGCCACTATGCCAGGCTATATATATTTATATTTTTAGTAGAGACGGGGTTTCACTATGTTGGCCAGGCTGGTCTTGAACTCCTGACCTCAGGTGATGCACCTGCCTAGACCTCCCAAAGTGCTGGGATTACAGGCGTGAGCCACTGTGCCTGGCCTCATTCCATTTTCTTCTATGGCAAACCTCAGGCATCTTATTAGTTCACCTGTAATTCAGGATGTATCCCCAACAAACACGTAATACAAAATCTATGTCAGTTAGATAACGTGCAGTTTATACAACCGTATAATACGAACATAGTGTATATACATTATATAAAGTAGAATGTTACATACATTATAACTCTAATGTCATTATTACACCTAACACATTTAACAGTATTATTTATACGCAGTCTATATGCAGACTTCGCCGGGGCATTAAAACCTGCCCAAGTTGTGAAGAATTGGTTGGCCTATCCGATTATTTATTCACCCATTCATTCATTCATTCATTCATTCAACTGACTCTATGACGTCTTTAACTTGGCCAGGTCTTATAGGAGCTCATTGTTGTGTAGGGAAGACAGACAAATTCACCATTGTAAAATAGTGGGGGAAATGCAGAGTAGAGTTTGGTACAAGGCATGACTATGTCACAAAGAAGGGCACAGTTCTGTAGGAGGCAGGAGGGTCACAGAGAGCTTTAGGCAGGATGAGGACCACGGGCTGAAGTCGGAAGGCTGGCCAGGCGCTGGCAGAGGGCGATGGAGGAGGGATGTGCCACAGAGAAAGTGTGGGAAGGGCGCTGGCACTTAGCCCTGGAAATAGCACAAGGCAATGTCTCCTCAACTAATACGATGCCAGGCGCTCTGCTGAGTCAGTGAACAAAATAGGCAGAAATCCCTGACCTGGCGGAGCTTCTATTCTTGTGGGGGAGGACTGACAATAACATAATAAATGAATATATACAGCATGTCAAAATAAGGGTATGGAAAAGAAAAACAGGAAGAAACCGCAAGGGGCAGGGTGTTAGGAGTGCTGGGCTGGGGTGGTTCACAAATTAACACAGGATGGCGAGGGTGGGGTGGCAGAAAACAGATGGGGGCTCACAGTTCGCTTTTTCCTTCCTTTGCACACAAGATCGTGTTTCTCAGCCTTCTGTATCGTTAGATTGGGACAACTGGCCTGGGGTCCGGTGAACAGAATGTAGTTGGAAGTAATGCATGCCACGGCCAGGCCTGGGCATCATACCCTGAGTGACCATCCATGTTCTTTCTCCTTGGTCCACCATGACCGTGGCTGTCACATACTGGAGATGAGACAACAGCCCAGATCCCAGAGTCACCAGTTAAGAACTGCATTACAGGCTGGGTGCGGTGGCTCACACCTGTAATCCCAGCACTTTGGGAGGCCGAGGCAGGTGGATCATCTGAGGTCAGGAGTTTAAGACCAGCCTGACCAACATGGTGAAACCCTGTCTCTACTAAAAATACAAAAAGTAGCCAAGCATGGTGGCACATGCCTGTAATCCCAGCTACTTGGGAGGCTGAGGCAGGAGAATCTCTGGAACTCAGGAGGCAGAGGTTGCACTGAGCCGAGATTATGCCACTGCACTTTGGCCTGGGTGACAGAGCAAGAGTCTGTCTCAAAAAACTAAAACACAAACACACAAAAACAAAACTGCATTACAAACCCTGAGTGTGAAGCTAATGTAAATATCAATGTTGTCTACTCTCCTACCAATACCCTGCCCACTCTATGACACTCTTTCTACCTTTTCTTTTACTGTGTGTGTGTGTTTAAGGAGTTAATATCTTCAATATATAAAGAGTTCATAAAAATCAACAAGAAAAATATTAACCCTCTGTAAGAAAAATGAGTAAAGAACTTACAAAGTAAAGCAACATATAGATGTAATAGAAATATATATTAAAAAACTCTATAAATGTTTTATAGTTTCAAGTAAATAGAATCATAGAAGCCAAAAATCAGTACATAGAAAAACTGTGACTTCATTATTAATGAAATGCTATCACTAAATAGTTCTTTTTTGCAAGCTGGCTATGTTTTTAAAATTAATATATGCGGAATTGCTGAGGATGCAATGAAATAGTTCCCACACGTTGCTGATGAAAGCATACATAGGTAAAACCTTTCTGGAAGAAAAGTTAGCAATATTTTCCAGTACTTTTTAAGAGCCTTAAAACTGTTTCTGCTGGGTGCAGTGGCTCATGCCTGTAATCCCTGCACTTTGGGAGGCCAAGGTGGGAGGATCACTTGAGGCCAGGAGTTCAAGACCAGCCTGGGTAACATAGTAAGACATCATCTCTACAAAACAAACAAACAAACAAACACACAAACAAACAAAAAAACATTAGCCAGGCATGGTTGTGTGTGCCTGTAGTCCTAGCTGCTCTAGAGCCTCTGAGTTGGGACAATTTCTTAAACCCAGCAGATGGAGGCTGCAGTGAGCTGTGACCACGTCACTGCACTCCAGCCTTGGTGATAGAACAAGACCCTGTTTCAAAGAGACAAACCACCTGTTCCTGCCTTTTGACCTCATTGATAAGTCATTCAGGAATGTACATAAGCAGAGACACATTCAACGATCTATGCATATAACAAGCGATTTCCACAACTTTTTTAAGAAATGGAAGTATCCTTATACTTTTTGCTGAGATAAAAAATTCATATTTTTCCAGTTGGCATGTGACCTTTGCCATTAACAATGCATTACAAGTCTTTAAAAGGCTCTTTTCTTTTTCTTCTACTGTATTTTGTAGCTTCTTCTCAGAGCCAGGACAATAGGACAGGCTGAGGAGTGTCACAGAACAGGCAGAGCATCCCAGGACACCCACCTTCACAATGAGCGCTGTCCTTCACGAACAGTTCATTATCTGACTAACAGATACGGACCCCAGGAAGTTACACTGTGCCCAAGATCTTCCAGAGGCCACAACAATAAGTCCAAGCCACTGCTGATATTATTTATAAGCTGTGGGATTAAAACAGAAAAAAAATCAATCAATTAAAGTTAGCCCTTTATTGAGACTGTAAGCATCTTAATTCCGCAGAACCGAGACCAAATAAGTAACCAATTCTTCTCTTAGAGGATGAAAGAGTTTGCCATTTTTACTGTAATAAAATATTTTCGCTCAGAAATAAGATTGATTCAAAATGGTCTAAGAGTAAAGCCTAAAAGAATGCTCTTTATTCGCCAAGAAAAACCACTTCTTATTACCTATATCACAATGATCAAGCTACGCTAGCAAGCTGAGTCTCAGTTTCTACGTTTGTAAAATGGGAAAAACACTGCTTCCCCCACAGGGCTATTGTGAAGATGAAACGGGGCAACACATGCCAAGTGCCTGCTATGGGGCCTAGGATATATAAGTTCCCAGCAAATATTTCCCCCCTCCTTGGGGCAAGGCAGTACTGAACAGTACAGAAAGGAGTATTAAAAGTGGGAAGAAGAAATTAAGATCAGTCACACAAAACAGAATCCCAACGTTATATAACCAAAAGGGATGTAGGTATGTTTCACAGAAAATGTTTACGAGCGATGAGTGGGAAGTATTATGTAGATATATCTGTGTATGAGACGCTTCTGCAACAGATACAGTCTGAATTTGGAATCAGAATTTCTGGGCTCCAGGAATAACTATTTTTATTTTTTCTACCAAAGATTAGTTTCTTCCACTCCAGAATTTCATACAAATTGAATCAAATGGCCAGCCACGGTAGCTCTCCCCTGAAACCCTGGCACTTTAGGAGGCCAAGACAGGAGGAGGATTGCTTGAGCCTAGGAGTTCGAGACCAGCCTAGGCAACATAATGAGACCCTGTCTCTACAAACAATTAGCGGGCATGGTGGCATGCATCTGTATTCCCAGCTACTTGGAAGGCTGAGGTGGGAGGATCACTTGAGCCTGGGAGGTTGAGGTTGTAGTGAGCTGTGATTGCACCACTGCACTCCAGCCTGGAGACTACCCCTAGTCTCCAAAAAAGAGAGAGAGAGAGAAAAACAGTCATAAAGTGTGAAATCTTTTGCATAAGTCCTCTTCTACACAGCATGGGGATTTTGCAATTCATCCATGTTATTGTATGTACCAGTGGGTGATTCTTTCTATTGCTGAGAAATATTTCATTGCATGAATAAACCACAATTTGTTTATCCCCTAATGGACATCTGGGCTCTTTCCAGTATTTGGAAATCATAGATAAAACTGCTATTAATATTTCTGTTCAAGTCTTTTTGTGAACTAGAATTTAATTTTTACTTTAATAGATAAGTCATGTTACCTTTAAATCGTCATCATTTCCATATGTTTAATAGCTGGTGAGTCTGTGCACTTTTCCCTCTGATAATAAAATAATCCCATTTATTGAGTGCTGGCTATAGTGACAAGGGCTCTAGTTTGTCCTCATAAGAATCTTGCGAAGTGGGTGTCATCATATCTGTTAGTCCATTTTCACACTGCTAATAAAGACATACCCGAGACTGGGCAATTTACAGAGGAAAGAGGTTTAACTGGATTTACAGATCCATGTGGCTGGGGAAGCCTCACAATCATGGTGGAAGGCAAGGAAGAGCAAGTCATATCTTACACGGAAGGCAGGAGGCAAAGAGAGAGCTTGTGCAGAGGAACTGGTCCTTTAAAGTCCATCAGATCTTGTGAGACTTGTTCACTATTGCAAGAACAGCATGGGAAAGACCTGCCCCATGATTCAGTTACCTCCCACTAGGTCCCACCCACAACATGTGGAAATTCAAGGTGAGATTTGGGTGGGGACACAGCCAAACTATATAGATATCCATTTACCATTTGAAGGGAGAGGCACAGGCTCGTTAACACGTAGGGTGTGTGGACTCTGAATCATTACTGAAGCCAGGCTCGCTCTAGGCCACACTGAGGCTCCTCTGGGCTGTGACAATGGCTCCTGAGCAAACCACTTGGACTCATCCTTTGCTCACTTCCTGGAAGGGCATCTAGAACTGCACATTATACATTTCCACCAATTTTAACCATTTGGCCACAGGTCTTTGCAGTTAGAGTGGTGATATATTTTTCTCCTTCTGTGATTTTCCTTTAGTATATATTTTGCAGTATTTTGTTGCATAAAGATTTATTTACTCAAACCCATCCACTTTGTCTGATGACAGGCTCAATTTTTCAAGAGCCAGAAATTTATCTTTGCTCCACTACTAGAATAAATCTGCAGTTCTGCTTTCTTCTTTTTAATGGTTTTTACGTTTCTGCAGCCACACGCCTATGGGAAGTATCTGCTCAATAAATCACAAAATGGAAATGTGACTTGTGTTTTATACCTGGGAAATAGTTGCCAAGAGAACTGAACCTGCTTCCTGAAGCTGTACGGGAGGGCCAGCAGGTGAACTTGATTCTTAGTTCACCGTTTTTACTCCATGAGCAGGATCTATCTTGGCCCATGACTACCCCTAGAGGAGGAGCTGTGCTCACAAAACTCTGCTTAGAATGGAGCTCTCCGAGGGCAGTGCTGAGAATGACAGAGTGTGGATTCTGGTGCAGGCTTCATTCTTCCTCCTTCTTTCTCTCCTACTTCCTTTCAAGTTTAAAGTTGAACAATTTCTAAAGTCAACAAATAACAAACATGCTCAGAGCTGGAAGAGCCTCACAGTCATTCATACTTTTATCTGGCAAACACTGGCTGAGCTAGGTCTTGTGAGGCCCTCGTCTAGAAAGACTAGGTCCAGACCGAGTCTATTGAGGGAAATGGACATGGAGACAGGAGGAGAGTAAGGGGATGGAGATTTCTCCAGAGATTAGGACTGGGGCCCTGGGGCTTTGCCTCACTCCAACCAACCAGAGGAGCCAAGAAGTGTGTTCTGAGGAGGTGGGGCCTGGGCCAGGCTGGAGGCTGAGACTCGGGATCTGGGTATTGGATGGAGTGAGCTCTCACAGGGAAACTCCCCTGTCCCCCAGGACACAGCTGCAGGCCAGGAGGGAGATGAGAAAGGGCCAGTGGGGCAGGTGAGCTTAGGAGCAGTCATGGGAGCTGTTCTTTTCTGGGGAGGTGGGGCAGGAAGATGAAGCAGGGAGGATGGAAGGATGCAGGGAGGATGGAAGGATGCAGGGAGGATGGGAGGATGCAGGGAGGATGGGAGGATGCAGGAGGATGGAAAGACACAGGGAGGAGGGAAGGATGCAGGGAGGATGGAAGGACGCAGGGAGGATGGAAGGACACAGGGAAGATGGGAAGGATGCAGGGAAGATGGAAGGATGTAGGGAGGATTTGAGGATGCAGGAGGATGGGAGGATGCAGGGAGGATGGGAAGAATGCAGGGAGGATGGAAGGATGCAGGGAGGATGGAAGGATGCAGGGAGGATGGAAGGACTCAGGGAGGATTTGAGGACGTAGGAGGATGGGAGGATGCAGGGAGGATGGGAAGGATGCAGGGAGGATGGAAGGATGCAGGGAGGATGGAAGGACTCAGGGAGGATTTGAGGACGTAGGAGGATGGGAGGATGCAGGGAGGATGGGAAGGATGCAGGGAGGATTTGAGAATGCAGGAGGATGGGAGGATGCGGGGAGGATGGGAGGACGTGGGGAGGATGGGAGGACGCGGGGAGGATGGGAGGACGTGGGGAGGATGGGGAGGATGCGGGGAGGATGGGGAGGATGCTGGGAGGATGGGGAGGACGCTGAGAGGATGGGGAGGATGCAGGGAGGATGGAAGGATGCAGGAGGATGGAAGGATGCAGGGAGAATGGAAGGATGCAGGGAGGATGGAAGAATGCAGGGAGGATTGGAGGATGCAGGGAGGATGGGGAGGATGGGGAGGATGCCGGGAGGATGGGAGGACTCAGGGAGGATGGGAGGATGCAGGGAGGATGGAAGGATGCAGGGAGGATTAGAGGATGCTGGGAGGATGGGGAGGATGCAGGGAGGATGGGGAGGGTGCTGGGAGGATGGGAAGGATGCAGGGAGGATTAGAGGATGCTGGGAGGATGGGAAGGATGCAGGGAGGATTAGAGGATGCTGGGAGGATGGAAGGATGCAGGGAGGATTAGAGGATGCTGGGAGGATGGGAAGGATGCAGGAGGATGGAGGGGCTGCATGGGCCTCTCATTATGTGCATAAGCTCACGGTTCTCTTGGATGGGGGAGGGTAGTGGTGTGGTTTAGGCCTTGGCTGTGGGAAGAACATTCTGGCTACAGAGGGGAGGATGAGTTTGAGGAAAATGCTGAGAAATGGAGATGATTTGAATCATAATAGCTAGAGATGTTACGGCCCACATTAGGGTAATGGTAGGAATGGAGAGAGTAATTATTTAGGAAGTAAAATCAGCAGGACTTGGGGATAGATTCAGTAATGTGAAGGGGGTAGAAAGCAAGAGTGAATCCCACACTGGATAGGATGCTGGGAGGGGCCTTCTGAGTAAGCAAACAGGAGAAAGAAGCAAGTTTGGTGGAAAGATGATGATTTCATTTTTGCAATTCAAGCTTCAGGTGACAGCAGGCCACCCAGGTGGTGACCTCTAAAAGGGAGCTGGATTTTTGAAGGGGCATCTCATCCTGAGATGCATTCTGGGATCCATCAGCAAATGTGTGGAGGTTCTGTCATTTGACGTTTGAATTATCCCAGGAGAGTGCAGAGGGGTAGGAGAGAGAGCCAAAGACAGACCCTTCCCCATGGAGGGGGCAAATCAAAGAAGTAGGAGACTAGAAGACAGTCTAAAACGTGAGAAGAAAGTAAGAGAGACCATGGAAGCTCGTGCAATCACTGTTATCCAGAGGGTTGCAGGCTGCAGCAAGAGCAGGAAAGAGAAGGACTGCAGGCAGGACTGTTTCTGGGAGAGGGGCGGGGGTGGAGCACAGTTCAGGTTGCAGGCAATTGAGTCACAAATAAGAGAAGCTGGAGGTGGAGACCAGGAGCGCAGACTTTTGAAGAGGTTTGAACAAAAAGTGGAGGAAGGATGATGGGGGTGATGACTCTGGAGGTTAAGATTGGTCCAGAGCTGAGCCACCTGAAGATCCTCTTTATTTCACACTCCTAATAAAGACATACCCGAGACTGGGCAATTTACAGAGGAAAGAGGTTTAACTGAATTTACAGATCCACTTGGCTGGGGAAGCCTCACAGTCATGGTGGAAGGCAAGGAAGAGCAAGTCATGTCTTACACGGAAGGCAGGAGGCAAAGAGAGAGCTTGTGCAGAGGAACTGGAGCTGGAGCGAAAGACCTGTGAGACAGGATCCTGGGAGAGGCTCAATGAGGGCTGACTCAGGTGGCTGGAAGCTGAGCCCAGGTGACAGTAATGGAGGCTGGCTGTTTACACACCACAGGGCTTGGATGGGTGGAGGGTGCTTGGTGACTCAGTGTTCTCAGTTGATCGGGAGTGAGAGAGGCAGAGATGAGGGTGAGTGTGTGGAGGTCGAGATGGCTCTGGGCATGGGTGGGAGAAGCTGACTGAGGAAAAAGACTAGGCAGTGGTGTGGGCACTGATACTCACCTTCCTGGGCTGCAGTCCTCACAGCCGCATGATGGGCAGAGAGGCAGAGAAGGGAGATGATAGTGTGGTTGGTACAAACCTCTGTCCTCAAACTCTCACTAGCAAGGAATAACAATCGCACAGATAAAAGTGCAGTAGCGACTCTTCTGCCCGGCCTTATTCTCAATATGTTTTCACAATCCCTACGTAGGCTCCATAGGCTGGTGCTGGTAGTGTACCACTTTGTGGATGAGGAAGTGGAGGTGCAGGGAGATCCTGGAGCCAGCCCAAGCCGCCAGCATCTAGGTGGAGGAGCCAGGGAGCCACAGCACAAAGCCACAAACTCAGGCTGGCCGGCCCCTCAGCCAGCACACTGTGCAGTCGTGCTGCCTTCCTTCACTTTTCTGTTTTAATTTTTAAATTAAATATGTTTTTGAGGCAGAATCTTACTCTGTTGCCCATTGAATGCAGTGACTCACTGCAATCTCCCCCTCCCGGTTCAAGCAATTATCCTGCCTCGGCCTCCTAAGTAGCTGGGATTACAGGTGTGCTCCATCACACCTGGCTAATTTTAGTAGAGACAGGGTTTTACCTTGTTGGCCAGGCTGCTCTCGAACTCCTGACCTCACATAGTTTGCTTGCCTCGGCCTCCCACAGTGCTGCAGATGTGAGCCACCATGCCCAGCCAGCTTTCTTCCATTCTTCTTTTTTTTTTCTTTACTGAACTGGTCTAAATGCCTACTTAGGTCCCCATTCCAGCAGGTGGCAGGAGGTTGCCCTCAAATGAGTCAGGCCTTCTTCCCGGACCTCCCTGTGGCTGCCTCTAGCCTCCTTTCCCATGGCAAGGCTGAGTCCCAGGAAACTTGCTGAGGGCCAGGCTCCCTGGGTTGGGGGGGTGTCTAGGGAGGGGGATGAGTGTGTACTGGGGAGGCCCATGGTGTACTGAGCCATCCTCTACCCCTGCAGGCCCTGGGTGCAGTCACCCTGACTGCAGGGTGGCTGGGTTCTGGCCGTAGAGTTGAGCTTCCCTGCGCCCCTCTTGGCACTCTGTGGTCGCTTACCTCTTTTGCTGCCTTCCCTGAAGTTCTGGAAGCTCCCACCCTTGCTGCCTCACCCTGCGCACAGCCACCTCTGCTGCCCTGGCCCTTTGCTGAGCTGGGCAAAGGGGTGCTGTCTTGCTACCTCCCCAGGATGCAGCTGGGAACAGGTCTCTGTTTGCCTCTGTTGTGGATTCTTTCATTATATTTGGGATTTCCAGCAAGATGCTCCCCGAACACCCTTTTAAGTCAGGGTTAAATGAAACGTTTTAGGCAAAGAAAATAGGTGTGTGATCTCTCAGGCCTGCCCTTGGCCTCAATCGGCTGTCCTTGCCACAGGGGAGCCACAGGCTGCTCTTGGCCCCTGCTGTTCCCTGGCTCTGGGAGGCGTGGAAAGGCCTGGAGCCTCTTGCGCACTCAGGCGCAGTGGTCTGAAGACGGTCGCTCAGGCTGCAAACTTCCAGAGGCCTGAGGTGGCAGCTCCGGAGCTGGGCGCTCATGGAATGACAGCCGGACCTCGGGGCTCTCGGGAACTGGCCTGACCTGGAGAGCAGGCCGCCATCTCTGCAGTCACAGAGGGGGCCCTGGAGGCCATCAGGGCAGATGCCTGGAGACTGGGTTGGTGGGGGGTGGATAGAACACTACCCAGTGATTGTGAATCCAAGCCTCCACCTTCTTCACAATCCGCAGATGTTCTAGAACCTGGCAGAATCTCAGGCCTGATGGGATCTGTCCTGGTTCTGGAATGTTTGAGTTTTCTAGAGAAAGGTATCTCAGTTCAGAGATGTCACTCAGGGGTGGGTAAATGACTGCAAGAGAAGGCAAGTCCCCTGCTTCCCGCCCTGCCCGACAGTGCCGCCCCACAACCCCCAACCCAGTGCCCAATGTGCCCAGCCAGTGCTCTCTGCAGGGGATGGAGCTGCAGATCACCCTGCTTCGGGAGGGGAGGGGCAAGGTCACAACACCGCACGGCTGGGCCCTTGGGACCTGACAAGTTCCAAGGACCCACACCTGACCTGCCGACCAGAGCCACTAGGAAGCATAGGGCCCCCTCACATCCAGGTCTCCCCAGGCACCCCTCTGAACCGGCTCCCCTCTTGTCCCCTGTGCAACCAGACTCAGTCCCTTTGCTCATGCCCTTCCCCTTCAAGGAATGCTCTCCCACTGGGAAAAGCCTAAAAGACGGCAGCCCCACAAGACTGGTGAAATGGTAACCGGGGCTTACGGTGCATTTCTTTTTTTTTGAGACGGAGTTTCGCTCTTGTTACCCAGGCTGGAGTGCAATGGTGCCATCTCGGCTCACCGCAACCTCCGCCCCCTGGGTTCAGGCAATTTTCCTGCCTCAGCCTCCTGAGTAGCTGGGATTACAGGCACGCACCACCATGCCCAGCTAATTTTTTGTAATTTTTAGTAGAGACGGGGTTTCACCATGTTGACCAGGATGGTCTCGATCTGTTGACCTCGTGATCCACCCACCTCGGCCTCCCAAAGTGCTGGGATTACAGGCGTGAGCCACAGCGCCCGGCCTACGGTGCATTTCATCACTTTCGCTTTACAGGCATATGCCTACCTCACTAGCTGTGCTAATAGGTCGGATTTTAAAGTAACAGAATAGTCACCTGTGAAACCAGCGCCCAACCTGAAAGCTAGGCCTTAGTTAGCAAGGGCTGACACCAGCTGTGGCCCACCCCGTCCCACTCCCTCCCTGCCTTCTCCAAGACAGCCGTCACCCTGAATCCCGTGTGCCTCACTTCCTGGTTTTCTTCTTTCTTTTTTGAGACAGGGTCTTTCTCTGTCACCCAGGCTGGAGGGCAGTGGCAGAAGCACAGCTCACTGCAGCCTCGACCTCCCAGGTTGCAGCCGTCCTCTTGCTTCAGCCTCCTAAGTAGCTGGGACTATAGGCACATGCCATCACACCTGGCTAATTTCTGTAGTTTTTGTAGAGATGGGGTTTTGCTGTATTGTCCAGGCTGGTCTTGAAATCCTGGGCTCAGGTGATCTGCCTGCCTCGGCCTCCCTAAGTGCTGGGATTCCAGGCGTGAGCCACTGCTCCTGGCCTGTTTTCCTTTCTGTCCTCTCATCTTACCTGCTCCTTGGAGTCCTAAACTGTGTATATTATATTTGACTTCTCTTTGCCTTCGAGAGAGGGTGTCATGCTCTGCGTATGCTTTTGGGACTTGTTTTTCTCACTTAGTAGCACGTTTCTAAGTCTTGTCCGTATTGCTAGGGTGGCTCTGCTTCCTCTCTTTGGACGCCCTCTGATGCTCCATGGTGTGAACACACATGTCCACTGGTTCTTCTGTTGGAGGGCATTTGAACGGTCCTGCTGTGAACATTTTTGTGTAAGAATTTTCTAAAGTGTATACGTACCAGCAGAATTGCTGGGTCACAGTGTACGGGAAGGTTCCCCTGGGGGGTGTTCAGCTGTTTTCCTGAGTGGGTGACTCACTTCCATGGATGACAGATAGACAACCCAGGCACCTGCCTCTTCCCCAGCACTCGGCATTGTCAGCCTCTTCCATTTGTGCCACTGCAGTGGGGCTCAAGTGGCGTCTGCTGTGTCCTGTTCCATTTCCTGCACATCTGTGCTCCAAGGACCAGTTCATGAATGACCTTGCCCAAGAAGCACTCTGTGACCAGCACACCCATCGCCACTCACAGTTTGATGCTTTCTGCCACCCGCCCCATGGGGTTCTTCAGCTTTTCACATCAGGGGATATCACGTTTTTTTCTCCTAACCCTACCACCGGGGGCAAGCACAGTGTTGTACGTCCTGGATCCTCCAGTCAATGACTGCTGTCTGAATGAGGCGCAATTCTTGTTTATACAGATCAAGGAAGTCACACGCCATCGGTGAGGGAGGCAGCAGAGTGCCAGAGGCCCTGGGGAGAGGCAGCTGGGTCGAGAGCTCATGAGCAGGTCGTAGCTCGCCAGGTGAGACCCTAATTAGCCACTCTCTGAAGGCCTCGCTGCCGCAGCTGTTTGGAGTGTGACTTCTCCCGCAGGCCGGGAGCCAGGCCTCTGGGGGCTGAGCCGTGTCATGGGTCAGCTGATGTTTTGTCTGGAAGGTACAGACTTGGCCTTCTGTCTGGAGGGGATCAAATCACCAGCTCGTGATGAGGCCTGCTCTGGTCACAGCATCATCTTCACACACATTGGAAGCTCTTCCAGTGAGTACCAATCTGTGACTACAGGGGCATGGCCCCACCCCACATGTCAAGACACCTATGTGCCATGTGCCAGGCCAGACAGGGGCTGCAGTAGCCTGCCAGTGTGGGGTCCGGGGACTTGGGCAGGGATGCAGGGCACTGCTGCTTATTAGTGCCTGCCTGGCGAGGGCTTTGCCTCTCAGAAGGAAGCTGGAGGCTGCAGGGAGACCAGGACTTGGTCAGGAGGCCTAAGCCCCACCCTGCTGCTTGCCCCGGTTAACTGGAGGCTTTTTGTCAAGTGTCTCTGTGTTCCACTGGAGGCTGAGCCAGCCGCCCTTCTGTGGCCCAGGTCCAGAGCATGTGACAGAAAACTGGTGGAGAGGCAGAGAGTGGCCGTTCAGATTTTGCTCCCCTAAACCTGTGCTCCTCTATGAGAGTTGCTGGGCTTCTGCCCCAGCCTGTTTCCCACATCTCCCTGCAGCCCCAGGAAGCACAAACAAGCGTCCCCCAGCCCTGGACCAGGCCTCTGCTGTTGATCTAAGCAGCGATCCCTCCCCTTGCCACAGATCTGCACATTTTCAAGGTGTGTTCCCGTCCAGGATTCCATCTCATCTGCCCCACGTTTGTTTATCACAAGCTTCCTTATGGGTTCCCCGTTGGTGTTACTTCTCTGGTGTTCATTGCTTGACCTCGGACACGATTCTCCTCCTTGGGCCCATCCCTCTTCCTGTCCTGAGGACTGGCACCTGGCAAGTCAGCCAGGGGGTACTCAGGACATTTTCGGTGCCAAGCAAAGGGACCTCGTGTCCCAAGAACACAGAAGAGGCTGAAGTCATCAGGCACACAGTGGACAGCTGTTCTGTGGTTATCTGCTCCCTCTATTCTGGGCGCTCCTGAATGCTTTCATCCATTTAAGGAACATTTACTGCACAGTGGGAGAGGATGCCAAGGATACCAAGGATGCCAAGAGACTGGATGCATGGTCTTACCCTCAACGGGCTTGCCAAGTACCGGGGGAGACTTCTATCCAACTGCTGTGACGTTGGCCATGAAGGGTATGGGTTTGGTGGCCTCTGCACAAAACGCCTGTGCTTGGCAGGGAGATGGGCCTAGCTCTGCTACTGAGCAGCAATGTGGCATTGGCCAACCATCCTATCCTTCTGCATCCTTCTCTATAAAGGGCAACACAAGACCTGTCATATACCACCTGCCTGCATGGGTTCAGGTGTTTCTCAGTCATTACTGCAGTGAATTCTCACAATGTCACAGATGGGAAAACTGAAGCTCCAGTAAGCAAGTAGCTTGCCCCGTTCACTCAGTAAGTGGCAGCGGACGGAGCTCAGTCTAGTGATGTTTGGCTTCTAAACCCCAGTTCTTTCCATTCCTGGATTCTGCACCACAGGCGTGTTGAGAAGGTTGAAAGAGATTTTTCATTCAAAATGCCCAGGACCAAGCCTGGGTCGAAGCAGGGTCCTGGTGAGAAGCAGCTCCTGTGATCCCGGAGGATGTGTCCTCCCTTCACCCATCACTCCCCCAACAGCACCATGCACCTCCCGCATGAAACATGGGGGCTGATTTTCTCCTTGCAGTGATGAGTCCATGCGCCCGCCTGTGTGTTTATGGGAAATAGCTCACTCTGCGTCTTTCATCTCTAAGGACCCATCATGTTTGGCAAGCAAGCTCCCAGATGCAAGGCCAGGTTCTCTCAGCTAAACAAAGGAGAGGAAATTATGCAGGAAATTCTCACAAAGAAAGCAATTACTGTGGTCTGACGTCGATGGGCTACTGCAGCCAACATGGGGCCTTTTTGTCTAAATTACCTGAGGGATGTGTCTGCATACAACCCAGGCGTGCTCGGTTACTTTTCTGACGGGCTCTTTCACCAGGGGTGTCCGTCCTCCCTCACCCTCCTCCCACACACTTGGGGCAGCAGGAACGTGGGGGGTCAGGCCTGAGCCGGCAGCTTCAGTTCTCCTGTAAGGCACACGGCTGCCTGGGGAAGTGGGGAAATGCCTAGAGTCCCTCCTCATCCCCAAGACTTCTGTGGTTGTGCCAGCGGTGGGGTCTCTCTCTTTTCCTTTCCTGGAGTCTTTTGCCCCCTGCTGTGGTTCCCCTGGCTCTTCTGACCACCCCAGGTGGCCATTAACTAATCCCTCTTGGGGAGGATCCCAACCCAGACATTTCAGTAGCAATAAAGTTGCTTACATTGGCTTTTACACCCAATATCTCACCTAATCTGCATGATAGCACTGTAAGGCAGGTATTAGCATCGCCAATTTAGATGAAAAAAATGACAAAGAGAATGGGTTTATCCAGGTCACCAGGCCAGTGAGGGCAGAGCCAGCACCAGAATGGGGAGGAAACCCAGGGCTTGGCTTCCTGGCTCCCGGGCTGCTTCTCCCTCCACCACCTTGTCCTAGACTGTATGAAAAAGCAGCAAAGACCCGTGAAAAAGGGAATTTTTAGTGGAGGAATTTCCGGCCCCCATGAGAAGTCATGGGGACGTT